AGGAGACATGACCCTTTCTCAGTCTTAAAAACTGTGTCCAATACCTGTTCGTTCAGGACCTGTTGGTGACTGTTCAAAATGACCTTTCATTTCATTATGGATGTGACATTTGCCTCAGGAACTTTGTCTTTTGGGTTGCTGCTCGTGAATTTAAGTTCTGGCTGACAGGGCCCCTCGCTGGGGTCTAATTTGTAAAGGCCCTTTTACTCTCGCCGGCCTAATTTCGAAGGCCTCTGAGAAACCCTTATCTGTCCACAATATTGAGACCTCTTCTTGCTCTTTCATAGTAAGATACTATGTTCGGTGCAGTTTCAATTAGCTCTTCCCTAGTAAACCATCGGTCCTCACTTGGATCTTGATATGGAAATCTGACTTTATATTGCCGCTGAGGTCTACCTCTGCGTCCAGTATGGATAGTACTTTCAGCAACGATCTTATCAACATCAAATTTCCCGTCCATACTTGGAGGAATTGCTGACCTTCGACTGGGAAACAGTTTGTTAGTTACACAAGGTAAGAGCTTTGACGCGTGGAACACCGGGTAGGTATGCAAATGTGGAGGTATCTCAATAACATAGGAGGGTCCATCTACATCCCCTATTACATCCAAAACTTGCCACGGTCCTCTGTAGGCAGGTAACAATTTCTTATATATGTTTTCCTTTGGGATGAATTCTTTCGATTTCACCCAAACCAGATCACCTACAGCAAACTGAGGTCTCTTGTGCTTATTGGCCTGCTCAATCATTTGATGTTGCGCATTTAGTATATTCTCCTTTACCTTTTCTAAATCTTTCTGATGCTGTATTGCGAACTCTCTGGTCCATGGCGTAAGTTTATGTGCTCTATCCGGGTTTAGACAGTCTATAGGTCTTTGATGACGTCATCCCAAATGTAACTCCATCGAAGTTCTGCAAGTAGACAAGTGCACAGAGTTATTATAGGCACTAGCAACTTTGAGCATCTGTTCATCCCAGTCGATCTGATCGGGACGAATGTACATTCGCAATGTCTGCTGCAAAATCTTGTTCGTCTGCTTGCCCATTTGTCAGGGTGTCGGCCTGATGACATTGTCAGCTTATAACCATAGACACTCATTAGTTGCTGCCAATGTTCACTGGTCAATCGAGAGTCTCTGTCACTAACGATAGTCAAGGGATGACCATAGTCCTTACCCAGTGGTTAAAGAATTCCCGAATTACTAAGTCAGTTTTAGCTGCCGCAGGCAATGCTACAAAAACAACAAACTTGCTGAATCTATCAACAATTACCATAACTTGATTTTTTTCCATTACTGCTTTTCACCTTAAGTGTCCATGAAATCTATGGACACAGAGTCTCCAGGACCTGTTGGGATAGGCAAGGGCTTCAATAGACCAAGGGGAGGCTGCGTGGTGCTTTTGTTCCGTTGGCACACTTGACAGCCTTGCACATATGCAATACAATCAGATTTCATCCGAGGCCAGATATAAGAACGCAAGAGATTACCGTAGGTTTTCCTCCATCCAAAATGGCCTTCGGTATCATGGCATTCCCCTAAGATCACACTTTTGATCTCTTTCCTTGTTTGGGATACAAAGCCTATCATGGACATCAGTTTTTTCAAACAACAGTCCTTGGGTTACCCGATAGTTAGAAAACTCTTGTGGCGCTTCTTGAACACGTTTCAGCATAGTGCCATAAACAGGATCAATGGAATAAGCATTCCTAATCTTATCTTGTAAATCGGTGCCTATGTCTAAATACGGTACAATAGCACCGGAAAAATCAGATCTTCGACTTAAACCACCAGTACCCTGCCCAGCCAAAAAAATCCGACCTCCTAAATTCATGGAGGTCATGTACAGGGTCGGTAGAGGCCAGGTAGAGCCTCGGTAGAGGTGCGGGGGGTCGCTCGTTTTGAAAATAAGAAGGAACGACCAGAGAAGCATCTGAAAAAGAAAAAACGACCAGAGAAGCATCCGAAAAAGACGGAAAAAAAAAAGTAAAAGAAAAGAACAAAAAACAATGAAGAATACAGTTACAGCTCCCTCTCGGTTGCAAGTGTCAGCTTTCCGTGGAAAGCGCCCTGCCTCGTTGGCAGGGCACTTTGACTAAGTGTAAAAAACAAAAAACAAAAAAACACAAAAAACATAAAGAAACTAGCACGATTGTGGGAAGATGCATGGGCTCGCAGCACTACTCTCGAAATCTGCAAAACGACAGTGAATCTTCCATTAGAAAATGGAAAAATGCACCATCGCGATTTTTGTCTTTTGTGCATGTCCAAAGAAGTGGAGCGAGACCCTATCTCGAATTAGCAGTGTGTGAGCACAACGGCCTCGCTCCACTACTTTCTATATGTGCAAACTGAGAGTGAATCTTCCCCTAGAACATGCACAGACACACCCCCATGTTTTTTGTCTTTTGTGCATTTCTAGAGTATAGGAGCGACGCCCCAACTCCCCAGCTTGTTTTGTTTTTCTTTCTTTTTTTATGTGCTGACAACGAGTCCGCCATTTATGCCTTATGCGGCTCGTGTGCCAGTACTCGAGTGCCCAATGGGGAAAAGGACAAAGGGGGGGAAAACAAACAGCACAGATACGCCCCCAAAGTTTGTCTTGCGAGCATTTTGCTTGTAGTGGAGCGAGGCCCCAACTCCCTCGTGCCYCCAACTTCCCAGCTCGTTTTTTTTTTTTTTTCGTTTTTTTGCTGACAAAGAGTCCGTTATTCATGCCTTCTACAACTCCTCTGCCAGTACCAGAGTGCCCAATGGGATAAAAGGAAAACCACGAGAATWAAAAAAAAGAAGGGGGAAAACAAATGAAAAAGAAAGGAAAAATAAAAAACGACGAAACCAGCACAGTACTGGTCGCCCGTGTCGAAGGACCGGTAGCTCCCCGTACCACGACCAATTACCAGTTGCATTCCAATGAGACAAAGAGGTTTGTCGCATGGAAAAAAGAGAGGTTTGGCAGAGTGCTCCAGAAGGTACTGGTGGTTTACTGCGTCAGCAACAACGTTATACTTACCCTTTACCGGCTTTAGCTCAAAGTCATACTAATC